AAGCAGTATCTCAAAGCATTATCTGCAGATTCTGCTAACCCTTTGCCAACTTGCACTTGTTCTTTAAGTTCAACGATAGGTCTACTCTGTGCACATATGATTAAAAGACGCCTTGCAGCCCATCAAATATTAAATCTTGATGACATTAATTAACATTGGTGGGTTGATAAAGATACATTACCTCAACAAGGTTTGGTAGAAGATAATCAGATAGAACAACTTCTTGAAGAATTCTACCAACAATATCAAACCTGGATGGTTCCACAACAAACAAGGGCTCGGGATAAGCTTTCGAAAATAATTAAAGAACAACCTATGCATCTATTGGACCCAACTATTGCACATACCCGAGAATGGCCAGTTGGATCAAGAAATGATATTCAATCATCTACTCATAGAATTTCTTCAGCATTTGAGCTAGAAGAATTGAAAACAACTAGTAGAAAATATGGAATATGTCAGAATATCGGGCATAATAGTAGAACTTGCTCAAACCATAGTTTATAGAATAGATAGAGATTTGTTTAAAGATCAAATTGATATGAAATTGTATAACAGAAATATTAAATTTGGCTTTATATAGAATAGTTGTCTGTTATGCAATATTCATTCTCTATTCATTATGCAACTTTGTGTTTTATTAAACAAAAATTTATAAAAACCATTATGGTTAAATTTTATCAACTGATGAGGATTAATAAATAAACCCGATATTCAAAGATTCTGCATAACATGTATATAAGTCTTTAATATGAACTCATTTGTACATTTTCTTGTGCTTTTACTAACCACGTATTTAATCGTGAATTTTATTGATTTTCTTTACACATGATCTTATTTAATGAGTATTTTGACAAAAAGGAAGTATAAATGCAAAAAAAATTTCTATTTTTTTTGTTCTCTTTATTAACACTGCATTAATTTCTTATATCTATACGATTTTTGTCTCTGTGTGAGGCACAGATTTCTATCCTTATAGTGTTTTGTAAAAGAGAACCCTCGTATGAATTTCTCTGATACAATAAGTATACTAATTTATGCAATCTATGCTTTATTTTAATTTTGACTGCAGAATCGGTTTTATTTTAATCTGGTTGTAACATGAAAATCAAACTGGTTCTGGTCACAGGAGAACTTTTTATATCAATTATTGTCGCGGATCATAATGAAATCAGATTAAAATGAAACATTAATTTCTA